GGGGGGGGGGGGGGGGGGGGGGGGGGCACATGGAAACTTGTGATTCAGAAGATGGACTAGCATTCCACCTAAGGGGGAAGTATCACACTCCTAACTATAGTCACTTAATGTTACAGACAGTGGAATGCCGGCATGAAGACAGACAACTGGAATACTGTGAGATTTTACCGAGTTCAAATCAGGAAAATTTTATGCCCCACTCCCCTAATCTGATAACAATGATTGTCTATAGTACATTGCACTAAAACTTAATCACCTTACCCCACTTTGTTTTGTCTCTAACAACTGTCGAAGAGTAGCACTGTTTGACCCAATAAAGTCATGACTGCCATCGTCATCATAATCAAAGCAATCAATCTGCCACGGTCAAACACAAAATGACCAAAGAAAAAACATCAGTACATATGTACATACCACAGACTCTTTAGCATCAATCAGTTGTCGTACGGTTAGGTCCACACAACCAATCAAATCATTATTGTCATCTTGATCCCAGTCGTAACAGCCAATCTGGTTATGTCATAGAATTAAATGATTGTCATTGTTAGCATTTTATGGAGGCAAGGTTAAGCCTAACATCAGTCAATACCCATCATGTCAATGCAAGACTATTATCACCAGCAGGATAGCGTTCATTGTACATCCAGGACTGAGGGGCATATTTTACTCATTTTTGTCTTTTGCATGGCATTTCTTTCAGCTTTTTTATAATAATTTTTTTATTATTCATGTTTTCCTGTCCGTTCTAAAGATTAAAAGAACATCGTTCACAGTACCTAGCAAATGAGACATTTATTTTCTGATGCTAAAACCAATTTTACTCATTCACTGCTGGCACTCATTCTTAAAAATAAAGATCATATCCAATTATGCACTAAATAAATATTTTCTAATAATATTTACACAATGCAGACATGCATGTAGCCTTACCTTAATTGTTGCATCATAGTCTCCACTGCAGAGAGTTTGAACTGAGATGCTAAATGACTGCCATGATGGATTCAAGTTATTTTTGATAACCTACAGAAAAGCAGGT